CCCAGTGTTAGAGGTGGGCGCTAGTGGGAGACGCTCTGGTGGCAGGGGCCGATCCCGCCTGAATGTGTTGGTGCCGTCCCCTTGGTAACTAGTTCTTGATCTCTTAGATCCTGGGAGAGCTGGTTGTTTAAAAAAGCCTGTCACCTCCTTCCCTTTTTCATTTTCTCTCTCCCACCCTGTGATCTCTGCACACACCAGCTTTACTTCGTGAGTGGAAGCAGCTTGAGGTCCCCACCAGATGCCCAATCTTCAACTTTTCCAGACCTCAGAATCCTGCACCAAACCAACCTCTTTTCTTTACAAATTACCTGGCCTCAGGCATTCCTTTACAGCAACTCCAGCGGACTGCCATCCTTCTTTCTGGGTCTTAATATTCTCTAGGAGTTCAACTTTCTAATGAATCAGACTCAACAAAATCAAATACCTGCTGTTACCAATTTCATCTTCCGTATGGTCCAATTATTAGACGTTCTATTAGACTCGTGTAGCCCTCACATCCTATAATGTGCACAGAATGTAGGTGGGAATAAAAGAGGTCTGACAGGATTCTGGATGAAGTTCTTTTCATATTCCATTTTAGTAACAAACACCAGCAGCTATTTTAACCAAGCATTGACAGAAATATTTTCCTATACCCTGAATTTAAACATTCTATTATTACATATTCTCTTGAGCCATCAGGGATTTCTGCTCTGTTCATCCATAAAAATTTATGCTAATCTTGCCTATTCTCTCTCTCTCTCTCTTTTTTTTTTTTTTTTTTTAACATTTTAGGTTCAAAGCAGAGCCAACAATAATTAATATAAATTAAGAAAGCTGTTCCTTATCAACCTCACACTGTCAACATGCCACACAGAATCACAGGAGATTAGCTTCAAAATCCAGTGAAATGGTCATGAAAGAGACCGACATATTTGGATACGGCTCAGTGAAATCTACTGCTATGACTGTGTCTAAAACTGTCTGCCCTGTCATTCCAAGAATTCAAATGAGTTGCTATGAAATTGCTTGCATGCTCTTGACAGAGTCACACTTTATTTAGAACTTCTGGCCTTGACAAAGATGCTTATTTCTCTCAAAGGTTATTAATAAATGACTCTGTTGCCCAATATAGTAGCCACTAATCACATGTGGGTATTGAACACTTGACATGTGGCTGGTCTGAGATGTGCTATACGTGTCAAGAGTACACAGGATTCCAAAGAGTTCGTTTTTTAAAAAAAGAATGTATCCCGTTTCATGAAATGTTTTTAATTATTTCTATGTTAAATTAAAAAAATAGATTTTAATATTAAATCCATGCTAAAATAATAATTTGGATACACTGAGGTTAAATGAAATCTGTTATTACAATGAATTTCAAGTTTCTATGTTTTAAAATATGGCTACCTAAAAAATTTAAATTACGTGTGCGGCTCTCATATTTTTGTTGAGCAGTGTGGTTCTCACTAGAGTATTAAAAGGATTCGACGGAGCAATAAAAAGTTCAAATGCAGAAAAAAAAAACTGCAGTAACTTGAAAGTTAACAATAGACAGGGTTTAAATTTTAAATAAATAGTAAAACAGATTAAGTCAAACCGAATTTAAAATATTCTTGCGGTCTTCTTGCTTTTGACCCATTGCTACTGGCTCAGAAATATATTAAGGTAAGGTAAAGCTCAGAGTTATCTAAATGTAGATTAGCCTTGCTGTTTTGTGGGTCACCTTGCTCTGTCACTCAGCAATGCAACCTCAGGGCAATATAAACTAACTTTACTGTTTCTTAAGAAAGACAGTTATGATAGATGGTCCTTTCTCCCCCAAAGCTATCATATGCCACTAAATACTTTAATATTATGTAATTTTTGTACTGGGAATTATTTTGGCTGCATGGGTAATGGAAAGGGAACAGGACAAGGAGTCCAAGGGCAGAGATTCAATCCTGGGTCTGCCACAGCCCAGACCAAGGTCAGAGTAAACCTCTGAACCTTGTTTTCCTCCCCTGTAAAACAGGGAGGAGGATGGTAATACCTCTCACAATGGATTGTTTTAAGGATTAAATAAATAACCCAATTATAGCCTGAGCAGAAGGGGACAGGGGAGAGGGAGGAGGGGGGAGGATGGGTAGAGGGAGGGTAACTGGTGGGACCACACCTATGGTGCATCTTACAAGGGTATATGGGAAATTTACTAGGTGTAGAATATAAATGTCTTAACACAATAACTAAGAAAATGCCATGAAGGCTATGTTAGCCAGTTTGATGAAAATATTTCAAATTGTATATAAAACCAGCACATTGTATCCCATGATTGCATTAATGTACACAGGTATGATTTAATAAAAAAAAAATTAAGAATGCTTTCAGAAGTATCACACAAATGTTGGCTGTTATCATTATTTTAATCCACTGGATTCTAAGACTGCTTCCCACTGAGATCCAGCCACTTAGCTCCCTGGTGCACTGGGAAGCAGCAGAGGTAACCAGGGTGACTCTGTCCCAGCAGGCGACTTCTCAGGACCTCACTTTCTCTTCTTTCCTATTCACTTTGAAGACTTATCCAAAGGACATCATTTTAAAAAGGCACTCAGAAACCCATAACAGTCATGTACACATGTAAGGCATTATTGATTTTACTGAAAGAGAAAACAAATCCCATGTTGTTTACCCAGCACCTCCTCTTACTCTGAAAAGTAGCCACTGCTCCTTTCCAACACTTATTTGCTTATATTTTTAATTCACACGTATTAATTCAAGATGATAGTGGTGATAAGACGTGAAATGAAAAAGGAAGGCCGGGGCACCCGTCTTTCACTTGGGTCTTGGCAAGATGACACAAACGCTTATCTACCTTCAGATTCCAGCAGAGCCAGCGTTACATGATCACAGCTGCAGAACAGCATTCCTAACAAGAAATGGTATTTTGTAGCACACCCCTTACATTTTGCTTTTTTGGAAGAAATAGTCATCTATATTATTTTTTAGACTAGTATTATATAATCCAAGTGCCCCAGAAGACTCGGACAGGATTTATATAGCCATGAAGTTGTTTGACTCTAAGTAGGATATATACAGATGAAACGATGACTTTAAAGTAGGAGTCCTTAGAACGTCACAAAAAGAAGTAAGTGCTCATAAAAGGAACACAGTAAAATAAAGGCATGATCTCGACCTATATCTAACTATAGACAGTAACTGTAGAATCAACTTTCCTCATGTCTTTTGATTTGTTATTTTTAAAGGGAGTGTCCTTTTACTAAAATATTTTCTCTGCTGCAGTTGTAAACTTCTTCATTTTCAGAATGGTTTTCATCATTCTCAGTTTTTATCCCACTTTACCAATGTTACCTAATGTAAAAATTAAGTTTATTTAGTTTTGATATATACTTCATTTCTTTCACTTTATTTAATGTCTTCTCTTGGTACTTACTCATTTCTGTGTAGTCTTCCTTTAATTTTGTGCCTATGTGGATAAAACCTTTTTTTTTTTTTTTTGAGATAAAGTCTCACTCTGCCATTTAGGCTAGAGTGCAGTGGTGTCATCATAGCTCACAGTAATCTCAAATTCCTGGGGGATCAAGTGATCCTCTTGTCTCAGCCTCCTAAGAAGCTGGGAAGATAGGTGTACAATACCATATCCAGCAAATTGTTTAACATTTTATAGAGACAGGGTCTCCCTATGTTGCCCAGACTGGTCCTGAACTCCTGGCCTCAAGCAATTTTCCTGCCTTGGCCTTGCAAAGTGTTGGGTTTACAGGTGTTAACCACCACACCTGGCCAATAAAGCCATTCTTAAACATAAAACTTTAGATCTAGGATAGCACCTGTCAGCTTATATTGTATTAGATTGTTCTGTGATTAACTCACTCCAGAGTTTCTGTTCCAAAGAAATTAAATAACAGTATCAATTAACCTACATTAGTAGGGAGAACCAACATCTATGTGAATATGAAAAAGTCAAGGAGTAAACAGGAAGGTGAAGAAGATGCACTGTACTGATGCAATGGAGACAATCCTGTTGGGGACAGGATAAAAGGACAAAGTCAACCACGAGCCTGAAAGGCACTGGAGAGGCAGCCAAATGTGCTCTCTAGAAGCTAAGAGATGGAGACATATTCAGGAAGTATGTGGATTAGCAGCATGAAGACAAGCAGAGATAAATACATCATTACTCTCCGATTCTAGATATGTTCATCTTTTATTTTTATTTATTTTTTATTTTGATAGATGTCCATTTCTGATGTTTTTTAACCTGATTTTTTTTTAAGTTTCAAAGCTACATTCCATAACCACACCCACTGTTCCTACAGTCATCCACAGGATCGTCACCAAAAGGCTAAACTTTACATTCATAAAGACACAAGATACAAAATTACCCCTTTACGTTAGTCTCCAGTCACTCTAATGACACTGTCAAACTTTATCAGGGGCACAAGTGAAAAGCCCACACCAGTGCCTCAGAGTTATTTGTGACAGCAACGGTCACCACAACTAACTCTGAGTAAGCCTCACTTTCTTACCTCTAATACCAACTGAACGTGAGTTGTGGCTGTACCATTTGGGTACACCTTCAGAGAACACTGCTTTCCCTCAAGTGTATTATGAAATATTCATCTTGGGAAATGGCTTACCAAAAAATAAAGAAAAGTGGACTTTGGTCCCATCTTGATGACTCACAGGGCATATCAGCATATTAGGGCTTCTCGCAACAGAAAAGCAATCCTAACTAAGCACGTGGTAAGTTCATTTGACCCTAGGGGACCTCCTCTCCTTCCCACCCCTTTACAGACAATCTATGACCATCTCACAGAACTAGTATATCCAGAAAGATACTCTGGGAAGGACGCTTTTCGCTGTTAAGGGATAGAACTAATTGAGATGCATATTACATGTTCACATAGTTTGAAAATACTAATTATTCAGTTTTAGGAAGAGCCGACAGCAGCACAATCAAATGAGCGTGGGGAAGAAAAGGGTTTCTGGAAATGAGAAGACTGATCAGTGGTAAGTGCTCCACTTACTTAAGGAGATTCCCCAGATTAAAAAGAGCCCGGTTATGCTGTGGGTGCAGCTGGAGAGCCCTCTGATAGTACATCTTTGCCTCCGCCGTGTCTCTTGTCAGCGTTCCGAGGTTGTTCAGGGCGCTCGCGTGGCGTGGATACAACCTGCAAAGTTAAAAATGTTAAGCCGTGCTGGTTCAAAAACTTCTAAGTTGGGCACAAGATGCCTGTTCTTCCCCCCGGCAGGTATGGCAGAACCAAAATGGAATACTTCCTCTGCTGGAATGGTTTGTCTGGGTCAAATGTTACTGATCAGCTATTTTTGTAGCTGAAGGCATAGAAATACAGCTAGGAAGCCCATTTCTGACATTTAGTGGTATAAATAAAACTCCGTAAGGGGTACAATGTATACTCTTCCGGTGATGGGCACACCAAAAGCCCAGGCTCCACCCCTACACAATATATACATATATAACAGAATGCAACTTGTATTCCCTACATCTATTAAAATAGAAAAAAAAAATCATCAAATAGTGTAAAAATAAACAGTATGCAGATCTACCAGGGTGAAATACATTTTAGTCCTTTGGGGCCTGTGATAGAACATTCTCCTTGCCTTGGTACTCCGTGTGTGGCCTGGCAGGGCTGCTGACTGGCCTGTACCGGGCCCCTGTTCTCCTGGATGCTGGGAGATCATTTGGTGAGAGGCCTTCATAAACACCTTTGATTGGAGCATGACTGAGAATGGATGATGCATAAGGTCTCCCCATATGAAAGATCTCCTCCCCTCCCCTCCCCTCTCTCTTTCTTTCTTTCTTTTCTTTCTTTTCTTTTCTTTCTTTTCTTTCTTTCTTTCCTGACACAAGGTCTTGCTCTGTGGCCCTGGCTGGAGTGCAGTCACATCAGCCTAGCTCACAGCACCCACAAACTCCTGGGCTCAAGTGATCCCTATTGGCCTCCCCCATGGCTGGGATCACAGGTACCCACCATGACGCCTGGCTAGTTTTTCTATTTTTAGTAGAAATGGGATCTTGCTTTTGCTCAGGCTCATCTTGAACTCCTGAGCTCAAGGGATCCTCCCACTTCGGCCTCCCAGAATGCTAGGATTATAGGTGTGAGCCACTGTGCCTGGTTGTAAAATAAACTTTATCTCTGAAATGCCTCTCCATTCCAAATTTCTTTTTTGCATTTTATCTCATTTTCCAGGTCCTACTGCAATTTGGCTTCAACTGCCCTGAAAATCTTCATCAGAACATTTAAAAATGAAAAATTAACTAGCACACAATGAAGCGCCAGACAGCCTTTCCAGTGTTCAAATGTAAAAGTGAAGGCGGACGGTATGTCCATCAGCAAGCCAAATGGATGCTGATTAAGGTAGGAAGGGTGTTAATTTATTTCCTTACTTCTAAACTGTAAAGAACCCACATCAGCACGGCTACATAATTGAGTTGTTTCTGATACATTTAGAGTGGACGTTTTTAGCAGTCTAATAGGTTTGCTCCATCTCTGTCACCCAGAGTACTTTAAAGAAGCCTGTGCAGCTGGTTTTTAATGTAGAAATGCCAAGATAATGCCCAAGTAATAAAAATAGGAGCTGCACTTGTCAAGTCTCTTGACAACCAAATGCTATACTTGTCCCCTGAAAATCAACTCAATTTGGGGACAGAAAGGGTTCCTATTAAAAGAAGGACAAGGAAGACACATCATGCAGCTTTTTTTTTTTTTTTTTTAAATTTTTGTTCAACTCAGAGTTCCTTAAGTTTATTTGACCCTTTCTTACTCCCTTCCAGGATATCTAAGAATATCCCTTAGAACAGTGTTTCTAGGAAGACACTTTATAATATGCCCCTTAACTGACAAAGGGTAGAATCAATTCAAATGGATATTACATCCTCTTCAAGCTTGAAGGGCCTAATTATGAACACAGGCTTTGGATGCTGCTGGGACTGATATATTTAGAGGAAGGCTGGCAGAGAGAAACACGGGGAGCCAGCAGGGAGCTAGTGTTTGCTAGTCCCCGATCACCTTTCATTAGCAAAGACGATTTAGGGTCCAGATACCAGTCCTTTCACACCCAGCCTCACAGTGCCTGAAATAAGTGCCTGGTGCTCTCCTGAGATGCCCTCAGAGGACACGAGAGGTGTGAAGAGAGGCAAAAAACTCACGTACTGTCCAAAAAACTCAGAGTACGGTACACTCCATGCCTGGAAAAGTGTCCCAGGCTGCTTGAGTCTAAGCACGCTCGGAAGTGTTTGTACAGCACACTGCAGCCAGGACTCAAATGCTTAAGGAGCTGTTGTTTTTGTTTTATGTTAAGCAAAGCATTCTGACCCCCAAAGACCGAAGGGATGGTTAGTGAACACGGTGAGGGCAACTCCCACACTCTGTTTCCCTTACGACAGGCAGGAACAAAAACTATCCTGGTCACACGTGCCTTCCTTTATCTCAGATGAGGCAACTTCTTAAAACTTTCTCTTTTCCTTATTTCTCTAGGCTTTGGAACCCATGAAATGAACACCTGAGGTGACAACACTAAGGACAAGGACAGTCTACATTCAGTAAGAGCTTCCACCAGGGCCTCACCTATGTAAGGGGCATGTCTGCTCTGCAGGGAACTGGTCTCACCCAAACTCATGGACTTCACCGTCACTCATGACCCTCATGCCATTTAAATAAACAGTCTTGTATTTCAAAGGTCACTGACTACAGAAATGATTTTCTTTCTCTCTCTTTCCCGTCCCCAATCAGAAACAGAATACAATTCCACCCTGAACTCTAAAAACCATTAACAAGCAGTGTCAAGAGCAGTAAAGAGAAACCAACGGAAGGACGATGAGAGAAAAATCTTTAACAGGCCTTGTGCTCTAAGATACAACCTGCAGCTACAGAAACGCAAAGCTCAGGAGAAGAGCACGTGGTGGGCCGGCCATAGCCAAGAAAGGGGCTCTATGTTAACCAAGGATAAGTAGCATGACTTCCTAATTCTGCCACCAAGCACAGTCCTCCACCTGGAAAAGGTGTCAACATTGCTTATTCCTGTACTAAGAAGAGTCTATGCCCATATCCTTTTCCTCACTGGGTCTCTGATTAGGTTCACATCATCATAAGTAAGCAATAACATTATGAAACAAACCTGAATTTCATTAAAAGGATTCTTAACAACTAGGACAGGAAAAATATCTAAAAATATTTGTGTAGATATAAATAGTTTCTTAAAACACATACTCTTCTATTTACGGCAGGCCTCTGGGAGGACAACATTTATCCTTTGTGTTTACTTTTTAAATAAATTCATGTGTGAATTAGCTTGGGTCTAATTCAATCCTGAAGTTTCCAGGAGGGGAATCTTCTACTGGAAAGATGAATAATTTAAGAGATGTTGCTACATCAACTGTCAGAATAAATTAAGTCTATCGTGACTGTGACTTCTATAGATGTATTTTACAAAAGTCTTGGTAATTCTGCCTAACCGCAGTGGGAACAGCCCACATTACAAACCCCCAAAGCTGCAGAGACTGGACAGAAGGGAACACTTGTACACTGCTGATGGGACTCTAAACTACTACAGCCTCTCTGGAAAGAAGTATGGAAAATCTTCAAAGATCTCAGAATAGAACTTGTGAGTGATCCCACGATCCCATTACTGGGCATCTACCCAGAAGAAAAAAAAAATCATTTTATCATAAGGACATTTGCACTAGATTGTTTATCACAGCTTACTTTAAAATTGCCAAAATGTGGAAGCAACCCAAGTGCTTATCAACCCATGAATAGATTAATAAACTGTGGAATACGTATACCACAGAATACTATCTGGGCATTGAAAAAGATGGAGACTTAAAAATTTTGTATTAACCTGGATAGAGTTGGAGAACATTCTCTTTAAGTATCATAAGAATGGGCAGCAAGTATCCAATGTATTCAGTACTAATATGAAGCCAGTAGATGAATGAATATATGCCCATTCAAGAGAAAAACTCAATTTCATTCAAGTTGGAGGTAGGGGAGAAGAAAGCGGGAGATTGGTGGGCTCCCACCTAATGGTCACAAGGTAAGGGTACATGGCACACCTCTTGGGGGAGGGGCACGACAGGGGCCTTACCTGACACCTGCAAACACTGTAACCTAACCATTTGTATCCTCAGCTTAATCTGGGGAAAAAGCCTTGGTGATTCCCTTCCCCCTCCAAAAAACCTCAGGAAAATATGTATTAAACTAGAGCAGAGAGGTGGTCTTTCTGGCCTGTTTTTAACAACCGTTACTGGGTTTTTCATTCTCACAGTCTTAGTCAACATTCGTAATGTTATGGGGAGTCCCTGGCTGTATCTTTTTATTATTATTGTGATATGTTTAATTGTTATTATAGAGAATGTGTTATACTGTCAAATAATTCTGCTATACAAGGAAGATTATTTTTTCCTCTTTAAAAAAATATAGGTACAGAGATACGGTTCTAGGAGCTGAAGAGAGTTTTTTTATTTTATTTATTTATTTATTTATTTATTGGCCGAGGCTGGGTTTGAACCCACCACCTTTAGCATATGGGGCCAGCGTCCTACTTCCTTGAGCCACAGGCGCCTCCCCTAAGGAGAGTTTTTTTTCAAGTATTGGATAGTTTAGATTCTTGAGAAACGTAACATCCATTTAAGCATGTCAGCAGTTCTTAATTTTTTATCTAGTGGCATTTGCTTAAGTAGAATTTATAAAGTAGGCAGTCAAGGACATTATTACCCGCCGTTTCCAGTCATCGTGTCTTTGAAAAACGAACACCAAGAACATGTTAATAGGAGAAAGTCATGGGGAAGAAACAGCTGCCTCAGGAAAAAACAGAAGGTAGGAATAAAAGAAAATCCAGAAGGAGCTAGGATGTGTTCATGGGACTTTACATTTTAAAGTGCTTTGTCAGGATCAGGTGCAGTGGCTCATGCCTGTAATCCTAGCACTCTGGGAGGCCAAGGCGGGCAGATGGCCTGAGTTCATGAGTTTGAGACCAGCCAGATCTAGAGAGAGACCCCTATCTCTAAAAAAAATAGTCAGGCATGTGGTGGGAGCCTATAGTCCCAGCTATTTGGGAGGCTGAGGCAAGAGAATCACTTGAATCCAAGAGTCCAAGCTTGCTATGACACCATGGCACACTACCAGGGGTGACAAAATGAGACTCTGTT